ATTCAATGGTTAGAACATAAGAATGGCCATATTGGGTCAGACCAAAGGTCCATCTAGCCCAGTATCCTGCCTTCCAACAGTGGCCAGTTCCAGGTGCCCCAGAGGGAATAAACAGAACAGGTAATCATCAAGTGATCGGTCCTGTGTCACCCATTCTCAGCCTCTGACAAAGAGAGGGACACCATTCCTACCAATTCCTGGGTAATAAGTATTGATGCACCTATCCTCCATGAATTTATCTAGTTCTTTTTTGAACCTTGTTAAAGTCCTGTTCTTCCCAACATACTCTGGCAAGGAGTTCCACAGGTTGACTGTGCGCTGAATGAAGAAAAACTTATTTTTGTTTGTTTTAAACCTGCTACCTATTAATTTCATGTAGAGCCTCCTAGTTCTTAAGTTATGGGAACAAGTAAATATCCAGTCTATATTCACTTTCTCCACATCAGTCATGAAGCAAATGTGCCAAAATAATCTGCAATATGGATATGAAATTAGAGGATGAAATTCTGGCCTCATTGAAATCAGTACATGTTTTCCTGGGGCCAGGCTATCACTCAGAATTTGACCCTTTGACTTTGCTTACTAACAAATTATCTGATCGCCCTGGTACGTGTAGCTACTAATGACATAAGGAAGGATTGGAAAGAGGTCCTGGAGGCTAAATTTAGACTGCTAGGTAGGAGAGTGAAGTGTAGAACTCCCATGGTAGCATTTTCTGAAGTGCTTCCAGTACCACACGTTGGGCCACTTAGGCAGAACTGCAAAGTCTCACTGCATGGATGAGACAGTGGTGTAGAGAGGAGGGGGTTAGATTTATTGGGAACTTGGAAAACTTTTGGGAAAGCGGGAGCCTGTACAGGAAGGATTGTCCCCACATGGAACCAGATTGTTGGTGCTTAAAAAGGTTGTAGAGCATTTTTTAAACTAAGGGATGGGGGTAAGCCAACAGGTGTGAAGGAACACATGGCTTGGACAGAGACATCCCTTAAGGGAGGGTCTATTGATAGAGATTGTCCTAGCAAGGGTGGAAGGTGATAAAATACAGTAGGACCTGTTGAGAAACAGTCAGATAGAAGAGTCCCATTCAATTACATCAGACAGACAGCTAAAAAGTGACTAATTTTTAAAGTGCTTATATGTAAATGCTAGGGCTATGTCTACACTACGAGTTTTCTCGGCAAAAAATATGCTAATGAGGGACTCATTTGCATGAGTTGCGATCTCTTTTGCATATTTTCTGCTGATCCGTTTTTTTACTAGGGTTTTTGTGGAAAAACAAGCAGTGTGGACATTTTCTTTTTGCAGAAAAACCCATTTTTCCGCAAAATCCTTATGCCCCCCAAAAAAGGAGGTTTACCGATCTTGCGGGAAAAGAGGTTTTTGCAGAAAAATAAAACATCCACTCTGCTTGTTTTTGCACAAAAACCCTAGCGAAAAAACTGATTGGCAGAAAATATGCAAATGAGATAGTGGCTCATGCAAAGTAGTTCCTCATTTGCATATTTTTTGCCGAGAAAACTCATAGTGTAGACGTAGCCTAGGAGTCTAAATAATAACATGGGTGAACTAGAGTGCCTTGTATTAAACAAGCATATTGACATAATAGGCATCACAGAAACTTGGTAGAATGAGAAAAACAGTGAGTGGTCCTCTAGCACCTTAGAGACTAATAAAAATATATATACAGTGTCATGAGCTTTTGTGGGAAGCAAATCAATGGGGCTTAATAATACCACAGTGCAAAATATATTGGAAGGATAGAACAGGTAGCGGTGGGGGGTGGGATTGATATTTTATATGAAAAACAGTGTAGAATCAAATTAAGTAAAAATCTTAAGCAAAATAAACTGTACCTCTATGGATAGTAATTCCACGCTCTAGTACCAAAATATAGTATTATGGATATATTATTGACCAACTGACCAAGGCTGTGATAGTCACCATAAAATGCTCAGGTAGAATAGAGAGACTATAAACATTTTAAAATCTCAATCATAATGGGGGATTTAATCATATTCATTCATATTGTCTGGGTATTTATCTCCTCAGGATGGGATGTGGCGATAAAGTTTCTTGACCCCTTAAATGACTATGTATTGAAGTAATGGTCCTGGAATTCCCAAGCAGTGAGGCAATTTCTTGATATAGTCCTAAGTGAGCATAGGATCTGGTTCAAGAGATGAATATGACTGGAATGCTTGGGAATAGTGATGATAATATAATTAAATTTAACATCCCTTGTGGCAGGGAAAACACATCAGCCAACCCTATAGCATTTAATCACCGAAAGGGAGGCTACCCAAAAATGAGGAATTTGGTTAAAAGAAATCAAAAGGTACTGTGCCAAAAGAGAAATCCATGATAGCTTCTCAGATACTTTTTAAAGACATCAAAATAGAGGCTCAACTTAAATGTATGCCCCAAGTTTTTTAAAAGCATCAAAGTAAAAGAAGCAGTGGGAGGAAAAAAGACATTCTCTAAAAAGTGGAAGTTAAATCTTAGTGTGGAAAATAGAAGGCAACTTACATTCTGGAAAATGAAGTGAAAAATATTAGTAGGAAAGCCTAAAAAGAAGAGACTCAAAAAGTAAAAGCAATTTTTAAAGTATGCCGAAAGCAGGAAGCCTGCTGAAAAATACTGGAGACACTGGACAATCAAGATGCTAAAGGAGCTCTCAAGAACGATAAGGCCATTGCAGAGAAACTAAGTTTTTTGCATCAGCCTTCATAGCTGAGAATGTGACACGTGAGGGAGATTTCCAAACCTGTGTCATTTTTCTAGGTGACAAATCTAAGGAACTGTCTGAGATTGAGGTGTCATTAGAGGAGGTTTTGGAACAAATTGATAAACTAAACAATAACAAATCACCAGGACCAGAAATTGTGGAACTACTAACTGTGGTTTGTAACCTATCCTTTAAATCAGTGTTTGAACCAAATGACTGGAGGAGAACTAATGTGATGTCAGTTTTTTAAAAATCTAGAGGTAATCCTGGCAGTTACAAGCCAGTAATTCTAACTTCACTACCAGGCAAACAGGTTCAAAATATTGTAAAAAACAGAATTGTCAGATACAAATGAACATCATTTGTTGGGGAAGAATCAACATGATTTTTGTAAAAGGAACTCATGCCTCACTGATCTACTAGAATTTTTGAGTGGATCAACAAGAATGTTGACAAGAGGGATCCAGTAGATAGGGTGTACTTAAATTTCCAGAAAGCCTTTGACAAGGTCCCTCCCCAAAGGCTCTTAAGCAAAGTAAGATGTCATGGGATAAGAGAGAAGGTCCTCTCATGGATTGGTAACTGGTTAAAAGATAGGAAGCAAAGAGTAGATATAAATGGTCAGTTTCCAGAATGGAGAGAGGTAAATAGTGGTGTCCCCACTATGGGACCAGTCCTATTCAACATATTAGTAAGTGAACTGGAAAAAGGGGTGAACAGTGAGTTGACAAAATTTGCATATGATTCTAACCTACTCAAGATAATTAAGTCCCAAACAGGCTGTGAAGAGCTACAAAGGGATCTCATACTACTGGGTGACTGGGCACTTGGCATTGGCCACTGTTGTAAGACAGGATACTTGGTTAGAAAGATCTGACCCAAAATGGCTGTTCTTAGGTTCTTATGTTGTAACTATAGGGATCAGGTTGTTCCACTGACTGACAATTTCAGACTCATTGACATTTGTGTTTGATTCACATTTTGTTCACCAGTCACAGCTATGTTGAACTGTCACAATCATAGCTGCATTCATTACAACCTGCCTAGTATTTTCCTCCAGCCTCAAAGAAAAATGAAGGTTGGTGATGGTAAACCTGGTTATAAAATCTCTTTTTATATTGCAGTTAACATCAGGAGGACGACCACACTATTACGTGTCCTATAGGAGGAACGCATTTGCACAGATGAAGCTGCCAAAGTATTCTTTGCCCAAGGTATACTGCTATTGCTGATATATTCACACTCACACACGGAGCGATCCCAATCAATTCAAAGGTTATGGCGGCCAAGCGGTAACTTCAGAATGAATTTTAATTAACAAAAACTTGTTTTCAAAGAATATTTGGAAGAGGAACAGAGCCTGTGGTTGTGTCAGTATTTCAGTCATTCAAGGGCATCACTATGAAATGTAGATTTGTGCTCGGGTCTTCTTACATTGCTAGAGGCTGAACCTCTCTAGTCCGGCACTCTCTGGTCTGACGGCATCTGTGGACTGGCATGATTTTAGTTACTCAGATGTTCACTTTTCATGGGTGTGGCCAAGTTTCCTGTGGTCCCATAAAGTTTGTTTATAGCCACCAGTCCTGACTCTCAGTGTTTTGTGCTGTTAGTTAGCTCTATTTTACCCCTGTCATGGCTCCTTCCCCACTCTGGCACGATAAATGCAGAAGTGGGGGCCAGCAAAAGTACCCCAAAACCTTATCTACCAGGTTTTGGTATAAAACTTCCCCCCAAAATCTTAACAACCTAGATTTTGGGAATAAAATCTCTGCTGTTACCACTCAAGTATTGGTACAAAAATCAGGGGAAAGATCACTTGGGAAAACTCACCCCTAAAGTACAAACTAGGACACAATCATTAACCAATACCAGGCTAATAAAAAGGGAAGAGAAAGAACTTTTATTATCACCACAATATTCCTGTTGCAAACATAATGACTAGATGGAAAAGTAACAAAATAATATACTCATGGGCTGCGTCTAGACTGGCAAGTTTTTCCGCAAAAGCAGCTGCTTTGGCAGAAAAACTTGCCAGCTGTCTACACTGGTCGCTTGAATTTGTGCAAGAACACTGACGATCTAATGTAAGATTGTCAGTGTTCTTCTGCAAATACTATGCTGCTCCCGTCTGGGAAAAAGCCCTTTTGCGCAAATGTATTTGCGCAAGAGGGTCAGTGTAGACAGCTAAAAACTGTTTTGCGCTAAAAAGCCCCGATGGCGAAAATGGTGATCGGGGCTTTCTTGCGCAAAACCGCGTCTAGATTGGCACGGACACTTTTCCGCAAAAAGTGCTTTTGTGCAAAAGCGTCCGTGCCAATCTAGATGCTCTTTTCCAAAAATGCTTTTAACGGAAAAAACTTTTCCGTTAAAAGCATTTGTAGAAAATCATGCCAGTCTAGATGTAGCCATGGAGGAGAAATTTACCATGGGCCAGGAACTTAGTTACAAAGCAGAGCAAAACCCACTGTTAAATGCACAGGCATCAGATCCTATTTCCCAAACCATAAAACAATAAAACCTAATGGATTTATCTAAACTTTATCCTACTTACAGACTGTGAAGAGTATTTTCTTAGAGGGAGACATCCTGTCCCCTTCAATAGCTGGAGAGAAACTACACAGGACAAAGGAGAGAAAGCCCCCAAAATTCCTTTGTCCCAGTTTGAAATTCCTACCTACATTTCCATTGGCTGCTTGCCACCTGGTTTAGGTAAGGGACAAAGTTAACCCCTTAGTCCCCAGGATGCTGGCTAACCTGCATGATCATGACAACCCCTATATGTTTCTAAGAACCCAGTAAGCAGTGGAACTGTTGGTGATGCGGCTAGACAATATTCACCTCCCATGGTTCAGCAAATTCTCTGGTTCGGCACCAGTCAAGTCCCGAGGGTGCTGGACTAGAGAGATTCAGCCTGCATTTCATTTTAATCAATTAACACCATTGTGGAAGGTTTGCCTTGAACTATTTTCCCCCGCCTCCTTCGTGTGGGTCATTTTTGATGCTTTGCCTCATTAGCAGATTTGAAAGGGAGGCAAACAAAGAGATGTTTTGTGTCTGCTCCATATCGTCCCTAATTAAGAACAATGGTGAATGAGCAATGGAGCCTGAAAGGATGTCATTACCTTATGGAGCTGGGTTTTTGAGAGTGCTAGTCAACTTTGGGGATGGAGTAGGATCAGTACTTTGCAGCCACATGTCAAACCATTTATGAAACAAAAGGGAGCCACCCCCCTTAAGGTGTTTTTTTCTTTTTTCAAAATAATGAGCTCTGACTTAGTAGCATTCAAGAGCATGGCCTGCTAGGTGGTGTGGCTATCAGTGGTTGTACCCGGGATCAGATGTTTAGGGCCGCATGTGGGTTACTGCTACACAGGACAGTGCAAATCCAAACTGACAAGGTTCTTGGAACTCTTCCCTTGTGGTTGAGCGGTGTTTAGCCTTCTCCCACACCTCTCCAACCCGCCATCCCATCTCCTTGACCTGTGAATCCCCTTGAGATGTGGATGAGTCTTGAAAAGGATCAATGAAGGTACAGGGCTGTCTACTGTGACGACCTCAGGGGATGTCACACCATAGAATCCTCCTGATCTGCCCCAAAGCAAGGTGATCCCAACATGCCTACAGGGATCCAAGTTACAACTAACAAAGCCACAAAGACGTATGTAACCCACACACCTAGGCTATGTCTACACTCGCAGCTTCTTGCACAAGTAATATGCAAATGAGGCTAAGCGTGGAATATCGCTGAACCTCATTTGCATACCTAATGAGCCACCATTTTTTTCAGAAGAGGCTCTTGCGCAAGAAGGAGTGTCTACACTGCCCCTTCTTGTGCAAGAAAAACCCTCTTGTGCAATGCCGTTACACCTATTACTTTTCAGGAAGAACGGCATTGCGCAAGAAGGGGAAGTGTAGACGCTCCTTCTTGTGCAAGAGCCTCTTCTGAAAAAAAATGGTGGCTCATTAGGTATGTAAATGAGGCTTGGCGATATTCCACGCTTAGCCTCATTTGCATATTACTTGCGCTAGAAACCGCGAGTGTAGACATACCCTAGTGTGGTTACTGAGCAATGCAAGTGGCACCTAGACCACAGCAACAATTAAGATCAAGAGATCTCTACAGCACAGTTTGGGAGCCAGCTGGCTTCTAGCTCAGCAGGTAGAGGCTCGTATACTCTGCTACCGAGGTCTCAGGTTCAAATCTGCCTTGTGGTGGTTACACTCCTATGTTGGGGGATGCTGGTGGGAGTAGGATCCCCCTATCAATGTTATATCCCACAGCAAGTCCTTTTTCATAGTACAGATCCCAAACCTGGGCTGCACCCAATACCTCCAGTCACTTTTACAGAATCGTGACCCTGGTATTTTCACATAGACCGATACTCAAGCCATCCTAAAGCCCCAGGCGGAATTATCCTATCAAGACACAGCATAATAATACATGCTTATTTGAGACAGATGTTTAAAAAGTCATTGGAGCCTTTTCAGACTAGTAATTGCAATTCCCCTGCAAAAATGACCCTTTGAATGGCCACTTGCAGCTACCCTGACCATCTGTGATGAAACCATTTGCTTTCAGTTGTTTCCCCACTACATGTTTGGTTCTCCATCTGGCCATCTCTGAGATCTACAGAGAGCTGGGGAAAGGAATTTACCATTGATTTTAGCCTATTGTAGATGAAATAGGAATTGGAACAGCAAATGCTGTTTGCCCCAAGTATGAATGTGGTATTTAAGGAGAAAAAGTGCTTCATTACAATCTCATAACATCTTCAAAAGATGAAGAGTTACTTTTGGCGTGGAAGGAGCCAAAGGAAAAAAAAAACTCGGCATCTATTTGGGATGCTGCTATCAAAGCAGGAGAGCTGCCTTTATTAAAAATGTACAAAGCGCTGTGCTAGCCAAAGGAATTGAAACAAACAGTTCCTTCTGTGCCTTGATTCTCTTTAATCTTTCTCAACTAAGAAATTGGGCCCGGACGTGGTAAACAGTGCTGACAGTTCCAAGCTCTCTAATGGCTCATGGATGGAGGAGAGGAATACAAAGTTTTTCACCCTTGCATCTGTCACCCCTTTTGAATTTGGACCAGAGAAGGGTGTTGTCACCTGACAGCTGCTGGCTTTGCTGACATGAGTTGATGGGTTGTAGTCCAGCTCATGTGGGCAGAGTTCATGCTATAAAACTCACAATTATGGCTGCCTCGAATTGACACTATTTTTTACCGGTCTGAGCAAAGGGAGAACTGAGCTATGGGCTGTTAATGGATACAGTGAGAGGAAGCCTTGAGTTGCCATTCTCATTCTGTCTGATGGCATCGTGGCACGTGTAACAGGGTTGGGCCTCAGCGCTGTTGCGCCTCCTGCTGGTCTCCTTGGGAATCAGCTCTTCAGCCTCGGAGTACCTTCTGCTGGCCTGTGTCTCACCCTCCATTATCTATCCCTGAGTTACTGCAGGTCTCATGTTCCTCCTGGACCACAGTGCCCTTCCCTCGCAGTACAGGAAGTCCCCGGGTTACGTACAAGATAGGGACTGTAGGTTTGTTCTTAAGTTGAATGTGTATGTAAGTTGGAACTGGTACAAAGGGTGTCACAAGGAGGACGGAGAAAATTTGTTCCTCTTGGTTTCTGAGGACAGGACAAGAAGTAATGGGCTTAAAGTGCAGCAAGGGAGGTTTAGATTGGACATTAGGAAAAAATTCCTAACTGTCAGGGTGGTCAAATATTGGAATAAATTGCCAAGGGAGGTGGTGGAATCTCCCTCTCTGGAGATATTTAAGAACAGGTTAGATAGACATCTGTCAGGGATGGCGTAGACGGCAGCAGCATGGGGAGGAGGACAGAGGCTTGCAGGCAGCACCACAGAGCAGGGCCGGGGAAGAAAGAGGAGAAGAACTGCTTTTAAACATGTAATTGACCAGATTAACTGATAAGCCTAGGATAAGAATGGTCATCTCCACAATGACATCCTAGTCCTAAACATTATATTTTGAGAAGGTAAGCAGCAGAAGAAATGTGTTGTCAAATGCCTAATGTACTATTGTAACAGAACATTAGTAATTTATGAAGTGTACATGTTCCTGTAACCAGGCATGACTCACCACCACAGGCATCTCCTGCTGCTCACTCAGGATTTAGGTCCTTCAGTCCTGGGGCACCCTCTTTCAGCCAGTGTCTCACCCATGGGTACCTGTTTTGTTCTCCACCTCTGGGTACTG